GATTCAAAATATAGTTTAAAGTTAAAAAACCAATTGCTAAATGTCAAAAATATAACAAAATAAGCCCACGCCATTTAAAAGTTAAATTGTTTGCAGTTTAAATGCCAACAAGCACCTCTCCGTATAGAAATAAATCAACGTACCAGGATAACAATTTAATATAACCCACACATTTTCATACTAATAAGGATATAAAAAAATGAGAAAAAATTTATAGAAAAAATCCCACGCATATTTATAAATGTGATGATGTATGTAGATGAACAAGGAAGTCTTATAAAAACAATACCCACGCATATTATATGTTAAATGATGAAAAATAAAAATAACAACAACAATAAAAGGGAAGAAATCAATCAACATTTGGAAAGCTAAAGAAGATTTACACAAACAATGATTTAAGACATTTAAATAAATATGCATTAACAATAATCCGGGTAATTTATTAAATTCTTTAAAAAAATCAAATTGAAATCGAAGGGAAAATCTGAAAAGTTTCTTTTTAAGAAATTTTTTTTTTTTTAAATCAAAAATTACGTTATTATTTTAATAATTCTCATCTTTCCTAAAATAATAATTCTGCAGTAATTTTGTGAAATATCATCACAAAATATATAATTTAAATTAATACAATAAAAGCTGAAATTTATTGAAATTTTATGTATTTTTGTTTTATTTTATTCCAGAATTATTATGAAATGCATTCAACCAAAAACACACAAAATATATTTAAAGATTCGAAACAGTTCAAAAAGCCAGACAGACGTACGCATTTGTGTTTACCTACGTACGACTAACTCAAACATTCGCTTTCGCAATTATAAATTTATTTTAAATTTCATAAATAACCAGGTTTTACTTTTGATCCTCTGTGTGTGCTTATTGTCTGTTTAAATAATGTTTAAAATATATAAATGTATTTATGAACCTCTATATTAGCTAAGGGTAAAAGTAATTTCGTTAAGGATAGATCGGAAAAACACAAAGCTGAAAGTCTAAACTGATTAGTATAATTTGTTATGTAAATTACGTTAGCTGTAGGACCATAATTTTTGGTTGTATGAGAAACTTAATAGACTCTACCGTTTTGGCTGCAAAAAACAAACCTAATATCTGTGCATGTGTAGCGTGTTTGATTGGTAATTAAGTTTACTTTGTTGAATGAATTAAATGTTATGGAAACAAAAATGTATTTTTTTATAAATACTAAGTACCTACAAATAAATAATTCTCTGTTTATGAATAAGACTGAAATATGTTTGCCAGAATATATTTACTTCTTATTGTTGCCAACGCCTCGACAAAAAAGAATAAACCAGTCATAAAATTAACATAAACAGTTTAACTTGCAATAATAATACTTATGTAGATTGTAGAATTGTTTTCTTTAAATGTATGCATGACTAACTACTAGTAGTATACAATACTAAAGTCTAGTCTGTAGTCTGGACAGTATAGTGCAGCATAGTATAGTCTAAGTCTAGTTTATAGTCTAGTTTATAGTCTAGTCTATAGTCTAGTCTATAGTCTAGGTCTATAGTCTAGTCTATAGTCTAGTCTATAGTCTAGTCTATAGTCTAGTCTATAGTCTAGTCTATAGTCTAGTCCATAGTCTAGTCTATAGTCTAGTCTAGTCTATAGTCTAGTCTATAGTCTAGTCTATAGTCTAGTCCATAGTCTAGTCTATAGTCTAGTCTATAGTCTAGTCTATAGTCTAGTCTATAGTCTAGTCTATAGTCTAGTCTATAGTCTAGTCTATAGTCTAGTCTATAGTCTAGTCTATAGTCTAGTCTATAGTGTAGTCTATAGTCTAGTCTATAGTGTAGTCCTATAGTCTAGTCTATAGTCTAGTCTATAGTGTAGTCTATAGTCATAGTCTATAGTCTAGTCTATAGTGTAGTCTATAGTCTAGTCTATAGTCTAGTCTATAGTGTAGTCTATAGTCTAGTCTATAGTGTAGTCTATAGTCTTAGTCTATAGTCTAGTCTATAGTCTAGTCTATAGTCTAGTCTATAGTCTAGTCTATAGTCTAGTCTATAGTCTAGTCTATAGTCTAGTCTATAGTCTAGTCTATAGTCTAGTCTATAGTCTAGTCTATAGTCTAGTCTATAGTCTAGTCTATAGTCTAGTCTATAGTCTAGTCTATAGTCTAGGTCTATAGTCTAGTCTATAGTCTAGTCTATAGTCTAGTCTATAGTCTAGTCTATAGTCTAGTCTATAGTCTAGTCTATAGTCTAGTCTATAGTCTAGTCTATAGTCTAGTCTATAGTCTAGTCTATAGTCTAGTCTATAGTCTAGTCTATAGTCTAGTCTATAGTCTAGTCTATAGTCTAGTTCTATCGTCTAGTCTCTAGTCTAGTCTATAGTCTAGTCTATAGTCTAGTCTATAGTTAGTCTATAGTCTAGTCTATAGTCTAGTCTATGTCTAGTCTATAGTCTAGTCTATTAGTCTAGGTCTTCATAGTCTAGTCTATGTCTAGTCTATAGTCTAGTCTATAGTCTAGTCTATAGTCTAGTCTATAGTCGTAGTCTATAGTCTAGTCTATAGTCTAGTCTATAGTCTAGTCTATAGTCTAGTCTATAGTCTAGTCTATAGTCTAGTCTATAGTCTAGTCTATAGTCTAGTCTATTAGTCTAGCTTATAGTCTAGTCTATAGTCTAGTCTATAGTCTAGTCTATAGTCTAGTCTATAGTCTAGTCTATAGTCTAGTCTATAGTCTAGTCTATAGTCTAGTCTATAGTCTAGTCTATAGTCTAGTCTATAGTCTAGTCTATAGTCTAGTCTAGCTATAGTCTAGTCTATGTCTAGTCTATAGTCAGTCTAGTCGTCTATAGTCGAGTCTAGTCTAGTCTATAGTCTAGTCTATATCTAGTCTATAGTCTAGTCTATAGTTAGTCTATAGTCTAGTCATAGTCTAGGTCTATAGTCTAGTCTATAGTCTAGTCTATAGTCTAGTCGTATATGCTAGTCTATAGTCTAGTCTATAGTCTAGTCTATAGTCTAGTCTATAGTCTAGTCTATAGTCTAGTCTATAGTCTAGTCTATAGTCTAGTCTATAGTCTAGTCTATAGTCTAGTCTATAGTCTAGTCTATAGTCTAGTCTATAGTCTAGTCTATAGTCTAGTCTATAGTCTAGTCTATAGTCTAGTCTATAGTCTAGTCTATAGTCTAGTCTATAGTCGAGTCTATAGTCTAGTAGCTATAGTCTAGTCTATAGTCTAGTCTATAGTCTAGTCTATAGTCTAGTCTATAGTCGATTCTATAGTCTAGTATAGTCTAGTCTATAGTCTAGTCTATAGTCAGTCTACTAGTCTAGTATCTAGTCTATAGTCTAGTCTATAGTCTAGTCTATAGTCTAGTCTATAGTCTAGTCTATAGTCTAGTCTATAGTCTAGTCTATAGTCTAGTCTATAGTCTAGTCTATAGTCTAGTCTATAGTCTAGTCTATAGTCTAGTCTATAGTCTAGTCTATAGTCTAGTCTATAGTCTATAGTCGTCTATAGTCTAGTCTATAGTCTAGTCTATAGTCTAGTCTATAGTCTAGTCTATAGTCTAGTCTATAGTCTAGTCTATAGTCTAGTCTATAGTCTAGTCTATAGTCTAGTCTATAGTCTAGTCTATAGTCTAGTCTATAGTCTAGTCTATAGTCTAGTCTATAGTCTAGTCTATAGTCTAGTCTATAGTCTAGTCTATAGTCTAGTCTATAGTCTAGTCTATAGTCTAGTCTATAGTCTAGTCTATAGTCTAGTCTATAGTCTAGTCTATAGTCTAGTCTATAGTCTAGTCTATAGTCTAGTCTATAGTCTAGTCTATAGTCTAGTATAGTCTAGTCTATAGTCTAGTCTATAGTCTAGTCTATAGTCTAGTCTATAGTCTAGTCTATAGTCTAGTCTATAGTCTATAGTCTAGTCTATAGTCTAGTCTATAGTCTAGTCTATAGTCTAGTTATAGTCTAGTCTATAGTCTAGTCTATAGTCTAGTCTATAGTCTAGTCTATAGTCTAGTCTATAGTCTAGTCTATAGTCTAGTCTATAGTCTAGTCTATAGTCTAGTCTATAGTCTAGTCTATAATCTGTCTGTCTGTAGTTTGAAATTTAGTCTTTAGCATAAAACCATTGGTTACCAGCACTTCTAACTACAGAGTACATTTACAAGCCTGTGTACCTATGTTTTTAAAAATTACCTTTAATATTTTGTTAATATTATTTTACCTTCGTTGTAAATGTATTTAAAAAATTAAAAGGCATAATTTACTGCACTATTTATTAACACACCATAGAAATTTGAATGTTTTTGTACCTTAACACGCAATTGTGTTTATGTGTTTTTTTTTAAATTCGTTTTATTTTTACTAAATAAATATGAAAATCAGAAGGTGTAACGAATTATTTATTCTGGCTGTTAGTGCTTTTGGAAAATATGTAGTTTTAGGAATTTATAGTACTCCATGACGATGGGCTCTGTTTAGCAATTCAATTTTTGGTGCGAAATCTAAAAAGTGTCATAGCAAAGGAATAAATCATGGTATTCAGTGTTGCAAAGTTAATTCGCTAAAGAGTTATGAAGAACCTGCGATATTAACTTTCAGTTGTTTGACTGGTTGCTGGTGTATAAATAGCGAAAGCTTGATTACTTCAAAGCATTACTGTTCAGTAGTCGAGTAAACACTTACATATAATGTGGTAAGTGTTAAAGTGTTTAAGCAGTGATGTTGTGTCTACGACTGCGGTCTGACAAGCACTAAACCCAACTTCCTATCCTTATCGACTACTTTTTTATGTTAAAACAAAACAACTTACTTAACGACCTATTCGTAATAACTTATTTAAGTAACTATTTGTGTAAGTTTTTGAATTTGAAACTCATTAATGTTAAGTTTTAGTAGTTAATATGTAATACAGTTAGTTAAGCATTTGCTTAGATAAAGACAAATTTCGCACTTAAAAAACTCTTAAAATTTCTCTTAAAAACTTTAAATGATTACAAATCTTATACTTACAAAATATCCAGAGGTAATTTCACCGAACATTCACCTCGCATAATGGAGGCTGCTGAGCTTGTTGTAGTTGTTGACGAAGATGTCGACGTGGATGCTGGTGTGACGTTGCTATTACACGCTGTAGCGTTATAGTTGGGATACTGTTGAGTATGATGTTGATGACGTTGTGTTGTATTTGTGTTGGAAGTTGAGATTGGCTCGTGTTGCAACAAACGTTGATTTTCATGATTATTTTGTTGTTGATTATAATGATTTTGATTAAAGTATTGTTGTTGATGTGGCAAATGATGTTGATGATGTTGTTGATGATGTTGTAGTTGTTGTTGTTGGTTTGTGTGTTGCTGCTGTTGATCCAATGAGCTGTAATGATGATTGCTGTCGGCAACAAATGTCGCACTATTGCCAGTACGTCTTTTGGCAGTAGTCATCAGGTTTTAAATGATGGACAAATTTTCAAAAGAAAGGCAATAAAAAAAGTTTTTTCTTTTTAGCGCGTCTTTTTTTTTCGGAGAAAATGTTTAGCAAAACTTTTCCAAAGAAAATGTAAATTAAAATTTAAATGTTAACATGAAAAAAAAACTTGGATGCGTAAGAACTTTTTACACTTTTTGGTTTGGTTTTTTTAAGTCTTTAGGATGGTTTTCTTTTGTTTTTGTTTTATTTGTATAAAATTTTCATTTTTTTTTTTCTTTGCAAATTTATTTAGTTTAACATTATTATTTAAACATTTGAGTATGTGTGCAAGGACTAAATTTAATATCCGCTTGTTAGCTAAATTATATTTGTAACATGATCTTCAAAACTTGCATTTCCGTTACAAATTACAGTCATCATCAGGTTCGGAATAAACAACAACATGTTATATAAGCCAAATAAAATTTTGTTTTTAGGAAATAACCTTGAAAGGATTAAATTGTTTGGTTTAAAACACTTGCCTCTACAAGGACAACAGGACACTCCCCAACAAACATATTCCTGTTAACATTAACAGGCTAACTGCCAAATACAAATGCCAAGGATGTAGTAGTAGTAGTTATTGTGGTGGTGTTGGTGATACTGGAGGTGGTGTTGCAATTCTGAGGGTTGTTGCTGGTAGCTTGAATCAATACTGGTTAGTGCAACGAAAACGTAATACAAGAGCCACAATATTGTTATGGCTTGTCAATGGCCGTTATAAACTTCCGTCAACTATTTCCGGTTGCAAGAAAATTGCATTATTGAATGTCCGGCATGTTCAAATACAAACAATTGGTTAAAAAAGGCCAGAACTGGAAAAAAGACTTTAAGTAAAATGGCAACAACTAAATTGAACAATGTTGATTGTTTTTAAGTGCAACAAGGACTGTTTTCTACAGCAAACGGTAGTAGTGTTTTTTTTTTACTTTTTTTAAAATGTTGTCATTGCTTTTGCTGCTGCCGTTGTTAAACTATGAAATTGTTTTGAATTTAACATCAACAACAACAACATCATCATTTTGTTTATAAAACGTTTTGTTGCTGGTTACTAAAACTGCAATTTTCACTGTTTCTTTGTTGTTTTGTTAACTTTATATATATATTTTTTTGTTAAATTCTAATTACAATTTCCGGTTTCTATTTGTTGCTAATTTTATGTTACAGCTTATATGTTGTTGTTGTTAATATTTATTTTATCCTGCTGCTGTTCGTTTTCTATATTTGTTACATTTCCAATTATTTCCTTTTTCTCTCGTTGTTTGTTAATGTGTGTGTGTAAAATTGATTTGCTTTAATAGCTGTTGAGTATAATGTTAATTTAAGTTTTATACACCTTAATTTGTTGTAGTTATATAATTTAATTTGTTGTTGTTTCTCGTTTAATACTTAGTTTTCTAAATATGGCACATTGTTTTGATATGTTTTAAGTTGTTTTTGGATAAATTATTTTTAATTTAAATTAGCATTACTGTCGTGTTAGTTATAAACATTTTATTTCTCATTTCCTTTGTGGGTTAGATTTTCTTAATCTTAGATTCAGTGGCTTGAAGTCAAATATCTGGAAAAAGATATAAACAAATGTACTACATATTAATATTATAGAAAATTTAATTTTGTAAATAAAACTGTATATACTAGTCGGGCATGGCTGACCATATGATACCATACAGCAGTGATTATGTTAAAAATGTAGATTATTTTTTTTAACAATATTTGATTTCATTTTTAACTTAATTTAGAAATATTTTAACAATTTGTTGACAAAAGAGCGATTAAATGGGGGCAGGTGGTTAATATGGTCCTATCCTTTGCCGAGTTTTGAAGTGATACAAGAACATTTAACATATTTATGAGCTGTAATGCCCTATTAGGGGGTACAGTTGTATGGGGGATATACGAAATAATGGACTGATTTCAACCATATTCAATCATATGTATCAAAAGAAGAGTATGTGCCAAATTAACTTGAAAATTGTGACTTGTAGAGTGCGCACAAAGTTTACATGGACACACAAACACACAGACAGACGAACGGACAGACAGACAGACAGACGAACGGACAGACAGACAGACAGACAGACAGACGGACATAGCTAAATCTATTCAGAAAGTTATTCTGAGCCTTTTGGTATACTTTAAAGTGGGTGTTACAAACAACAGCACAAACGCATAATACCTTCCCCACTATAGTGGTATAGGGTATAATGAAGTTGAAAGTTGAAACTTGTAGAGGGTACACAAGGTTTACATGGACACACAGAAAGACGGATGGACGGACAGACGGACATAGCTAAATCGACTCAGAAAGTGGTTCTGAGCCGATTGATATACCTTAAGGTGGGTGTATGACCAATATTTTTGGGTGTTACAAACATCAGCACAAAAGCATAATATCCTCCCCACTATAATGGTGTAGGGTACAATAAAGTTGAAAATTGAAACTTGTAGAGTGCGCACAAGGTTCACATGGACACACAGGCGAACGGACAGATGGACATAACTAAATTGATTCAAAAAAGTGGTTCTGAACCGATTGATATACTTTAAGGTTGATGTATATATTTTTGAGTGTTACAAACAACAGCACAAACGCATAATACCCTCTCCACTATAGTGGTGTAGGGTATAATGAAGTTGAAAATTGAACCTTGTACAGTGTGCACAAGGTTTACATGGACACATAGACGGACGGACATAGCTAAATCGATTCAGAAAGTGGTTCTGAAGTTAGAGTGTCAGCTGTACACGGAGGGAAAAGGAAATGTACACGCCTGGTACGAAATTGACACCAAACTGTTTATAATTTTTCAATACCATCCGTTGTCAAAGTATATACATACGTACGACAACACTATGTAATGTTGACAACATTGCAACAATTCGTTGACGAAATCTAAATTTTATACACATCTGTTGTTTAAATGTTAACAAATGTGGTAAGCTCACTATTGACAAACAATCCGTTGCCAATAGTGATCTTACCACGTTTGTTAACATTTAGACAACGGATGTGTATAAAATTTAGATTGCGACAACGAATTGTTGCAATGTTGACAACGTTGCGTTATACGTATTTAATTCTCATTTAGTTAAGTATACATTCATTTAGAGGTTACTTAGCTTCTTGACTTGTTTGTATCCTTTGTATTCCTTTGTATTGTTTGTATTCCTTGATTTGTTTGTATTCAAATTTCTATAAACAAAAACTTTTACATTTCAACTACTTAATGGTACTTAGACACTATATTTATACACATTTCTGCACAAGTATATTTTAATTAAAAATAAATATTATTTTTAATTTTGCACATTTTTTTATATTTATTTAATTTTTTTTTTTTTCTTTTTCATCAGTTTTTTTTTTGCCAACCAGAACGTCAATGTGTCTAGCTGCTATGTCTGAAAATGCATGCTTTTTTTGGCATCATTTTATTTTTCGCTTTTAAAGTAGTTTTAAATTTTTTTTTTGGGAAACAGTTGTGTGTAGACACACTTTTTTTTATATGCTTTGCTTTTATCAAAAATGTCAATCTTCAACAGCAGATGCCGACGAAGTGAATCAGAACGTGTAAAAGACAGTTGAGAACTTTTTAATGGTGATGTCGAATCATTGATGTGCTTTAAATTGATTTCTTAAGTTGCTGAGTACAAACATGATAGATCTGTAATGTCTTTTACAGATATTTCCCGTTGTCCTTTGTTTTTTGTCAAAAAAATTTGAAATGGAGTGTTAAGTAGGAAAATAAATAAAATATTTAGGAAATCTCATTGTATAGTATAATGTTACGTGGTTTACTTTTTCTAGGAATATCTGTGAATTGGTGCGTGCGAGAAAAAATAAAGGGGACGATTGAAAATCTCGATGTCATTACAATTTGTTAAAAACATTGTGTGCAATATTTTCCAAATTGGTTTCCAAAATGACGCGAAAGAAATAATTGAAATTTTTATAAGACCATTCTTGGACCGCTAAACTTCATTATAAGGGGCATATAAATTCCCTAATAATCTAGGAAATTGTGAAATGGACAAAATCAATAATCATCTTGTGGAAAAAATTTTATAATAATTTTTATCAACTCAAAATGATGCCACAAGGTTGCAGATATTGCAGTAAATTGTACTGAGATCAAGATTTACAATCGGTGGTAAGGAACGTAGGCTTCTTTCAAAGAAGAGCTTCTTAAAAAGGCTGTTCCCCAGGACACTCTCGTGTTCAGTAGGGTTATGATTTTTTACAAATTTTGAAAATATCTAGTCGATCGTATCTATTCTACATCTATATATATAAAAGAGTCGCGTCACTGAGAGATTCATCATAGCACAACCCAAACGGCTAAACCTAGAATAATGAAATTTTGACCAGGACGGATTTTTCGAAACTTTTATACTTGGGAAGTAAAAATGGCAAAAAGGGGTAACAGGTTATCATAATTATATTACACAATATAAGAGATACAAGAAATTTTTTAAATACATCTGTATCTTCTCTTAAAAAGGACAGAAGTGTGTCCGGTACTTTTTCTTGTTTTAAGGGGTGAAAATGTGATTTTGGTATGTTTTTTGTTTCTTTATAACCTTTTAACTAATAAACATATTAACAAATTTGAACATGTATTGGACAAACCTTTCAAAATTATCAGACACCTGTTTCGTACTTTTTTAAATTAGGTCTATTCCTGAGTAAACGGGAGAAAACTATATTTTTGGTACTAAAATTTTATTATACTTTTTTCATTAGTACTTTCTACAAATTCAAATTACATAATTATGAAAAACACACTGTCCTTATAGAATAAGATTCTTTAAGATTCTTTAGTAATTTTTACCTCTAAAATGGCATTTTGCGATAAAAAAATATTAAACTTAGAAACAAGCAGGGTCCTGACTAAATAATAATCTGTAAGTGGGTACTCTTTGGTACTTTTTCACTATTGAAATGGTACCTTAGTAGTTAATTAGTTAGTTAGTTAGTTTAGTTAGTTAGTTAGTTAGTTAGTCAGTTAGTTAGTTAGTTAGTTAGTTAGTAGTTAGTTAGTTAGTTAGTTAGTTAGTTGTTAGTTAGTAGTTAGTTAGTTAGTTAGTAGTTAGTAGTAGTTAGTTAGTTAGTTTAGTTAGTTAGTTAGTTAGTTAGTTAGTTAGTTAGTAGTTAGTTAGTAGTAGTTAGTTAGTTAGTTAGTTAGTTAGTTAGTTAGTTAGTTAGTTAGTAGTTAGTTAGTTAGAGTTAGTAGTTAGTTAGTTAGTTAGTTAGTTAGTTAGTTAGTTAGTTAGTTAGTTAGTAGTTAGTTAGTTTAGTTAGTTAGTTAGTTAGTTAGTTAGTTAGTTAGTAGTTAGTTAGAGTAGTTAGTTAGTTAGTTAGTTAGTTAGTTAGTTAGTTAGTTAGTTAGTAGTTAGTTAGTTAGTAGTTAGTTAGTTAGTTAGTTAGTTAGTTAGTGTTAGTTAGAGTTAGTTAGTTAGTTAGTTAGTTAGTAGTTAGTTAGTTAGTTAGTTAGTAGTTAGTTAGTTAGTTAGTTAGTTAGTTAGTTAGTTAGTTAGTTAGTAGTTAGTTAGTTAGTTAGTTAGTTAGTTAGTTAGTTAGTAGTTTAGTTAGTTAGTTAGTTAGTTAGTGTTAGTTAGTTAGTGTTAGTTAGTTAGTTAGTTAGTTAGTTAGTAGTTAGTTAGTTAGTAGTTAGTATTAGTTAGTAGTTTAGTTAGTTAGTTAGAGTTAGTTAGTTAGTAATTAGTTAGTTATTAGTTAGTAGTTAGTTAGTTAGTAGTTAGTTAGTTAGTAGTAGTTAGTTAGTTAGTTAGTTAGTTAGTTAGTAGTAGGTAGTTAGTAGTAGTTAGTAGTTAGTTAGTAGTTAGTTAGTTAGTTAGTTAGTTAGTTAGTAGTTAGTTAGTTAGTTAGTTAGTTAGTTAGTTAGTAGTTAGTTAGTTAGTTAGTTAGTTAGTTAGTTAGTTAGTTAGTTAGTTAGTTAGTTAGTTAGGTAGTTAGTTAGTTAGTTAGTTAGTTAGTTAGTTAGTAGTTAGTTAGTTAGTTAGTTAGTTAGTTAGTTAGTTAGTTAGTTAGTTAGTTAGTTAGTTAGTTAGTTAGTTAGTTAGTTAGTTAGTAGTTAGTTAGTTAGTTAGTTAGTAGTTAGTTAGTAGTTAGTTAGTTAGTTTAGTTAGTTAGTTAGTTAGTTAGTTAGTTAGTTGTAGTTAGTTAGTTAGTAGTTAGTTAGTTAGTTAGTTAGTTAGTTAGTTAGTTAGTTAGTAGTTAGTTAGTTAGTTAGTTAATTAGTTAGTTAGTTAGTAGTTAGCTAGTTCTTTGTTTTCCGACCGTTCTTTCGAAGTTGATGTATCTACATTCTGAAATTTTATTACGAATTCCAAAATAATGTTCCATTTTACTAATGTAGGGTATTAAGTTATGTCGTAATTCATGCATATTTTTAATATGTGTAATTCCTTGCATACAGCATCATTATACACATACATTGTAATAGTAAATGGTATGTAAAATGTAATAAATGCCAAATGGCAAAATGCCAAGTAAAAATATTTTATTTTTACTTCACACACAATTTAATTTT